GGGTGGAGGTGGAGGTGGGGATGGAGGTGGAGGTGGAGGTGGGGAAGGGGGTGGAGGTGGGGAAGGAGGTGGAGGTGGGGAAGGGGAGGGAGGTGGAGATGGAGGTGAAGGCGGTGATGGAGATAGGGGAGGGGATGGAGGTAGAGAAGGAGATAGGGAAGGAGGTGGACATGGAGATGAAGGTGGAGATGAGGAAGGAGGTGGATGTGGAGATGAGGAAGGGAATGGAGGTGGGGATGGAGAAGGGGATGGTGATGAGGAGGGGGCTGGGAAAGAGATGGGAGTGTGGATGGGGAAGGGGATGGTGATGGCAGAAATAGGGATTTGGAAGGGGATGATTGTGGGCGGAGCAAAGGATGGGGTTTGGAAGGGGATGTGTGATGGGGAAGGGGCTGGGGGTGATGGAGGTTTGGGAGAGGATGGGGATGGAGAAGGGAATGAGGATGAGGATGGAGAAGGGGATGAGGATGGAGTAGGGGATGAGGATCTGGAAAGTGATGGGGATGGAGAAGGGGATGAGGATGGGGATTTGGAAGGGAACGGGGATGGAGAAGGGGATGAGGAATGGGGATGGAGAAGAGGATGGGGATGGAGAAGGAGATGAGGATCTGGAAGGTGATGGGGATGAAGAAGGGGATGAGGGATGGGGATGGAGAAGGGAACGAGGACGGAGCTGGATGAAGGGTATGGGGATCCAGAAGGGGATGTGGAAGGGGACAGGGACATCAGGTGGGTGCTCATCCCCCCTTGCCCAGGTGCGGCCGGGCCAGTTCCACCGGCGGCTGTGGCGCTCCACACGGCGCATCTCCCAGGTCTCGGCCGGCGAGACCGAGTACAACCCCGCCGAGGGCAAGTCCTAGCCTGGCGCCCACCCGCCCACCACCCACCCAGGGTGCCCCGCGCCCCCCCGGTACGGAGAAAGGGGGGGACCCCTGCGCCCCGCAAAGCCAGGGGGGTCGGAGAGCCCGGTGCTGCCCGCAGGCTGCCTGCTCAGCCCATCGCCCGTGGCCTTATCCAGCCCCCAGTGGGGTGGGGGGTGCGGAATCACCGCCACCCCCCAATTCTGGGGGGGACGCATCCCCCCTTCCCGCGGAGGGACGGGGGCGAGGAGGAGGCTGGGGACCCCTCGCTGGGAAGGGGGGTGCCACGTCCCCCCGCCGCCGTGCCCGCTGGCCAGGAGCCGGCCGGTGTGTGTCCCCCCCCCCCCCCCCCCCGCCGTGCCCGCTGGCCAGGAGCCGGCCGGTGTGTGTCCCCCGTGTCCCTTTGGGTTTGGGTTTTTTTTTGTTTTCTATCCATTTTTAGATCTTTTACAGAAAAAATAATAATAATAATAATAATATATCTGTGGGGAAGAAATGCGTGCGAGGCCCTTGTCTGCCCCGCGCGGGACGGGGAGGTGACGCCTCCCCTCCACTGTCCCCCCTCCGGTGTCATCCCCCCGATGTCCCCTTCCCGGTGGGGTTTTTGGGGCCCGTTCTGTGGGCAGGGGGCCAGCGGGGCCTCCCCGCCAGGCTGGCCTGGGACATGGGGACACCCGTGTCACGAGTGTGGGGAGGCTCAGCAGCTCTGTATCCACGTGTCATGAGCGTGGGGGGTCTCAGCAGCCGTGTACCCATGTGTCATGAGTGGGGGGGGTCTCAGCAGGCATGTACATGTCACGAGCGTGGGGGGTCTCAGCAGCTGTGTACCCAAGTGTCATGAGTGTGGGGGGTCTCAGCAGCTGTGTACACACGTGTCACGAGCATGGGGGGGTCTCAGCAGGCGTGTACACATGTGTCACAAGTGTGGGGGGTCTCAGCAGCTGTGTACCCATGTGTTATGAGAGGGGGGAGCGGGTCTCAGCAGCCCTGCACCCCCGTGTCACGAGCGTGGGGGGTCTCAGTAGCCCTGTACCCATGTGTTGTGAGCATGGAGGGTCTCAGCAGCCGCCCAACCACATGTCATGAGCGTGGGGGGTCTCAGCAGCCCTCTACCCACATGTCCCAAGCGCAGAGGGTCTCGGCAGCCGCGTACCTGTGCGTCACAAGCACGGGGTGGGGGGGGGAGTCTCTGCTGCCGTGCACCCCCGTGTCACCAGCACGGGGCAGCTGGGCCCCCGGCAGCCCTGTGCGCACGTGTCACGAGCACGTGCGGCCTCAGCCACCAGCAGCCCTGCGCCCACGTGTCACGAACGTGCCAGGTCTCAGCAGCCGCGCACCCACGTGTCACAAGCACGGGGGGGGGGGGGGGTGTCGGCGGGCTGGCG